TAAATTCTTTGAGGTAGGAATTGCATCTCCTTCCATAGCATGGTTGTGAGGGGTATACAAATGCCACGTGGGACAAGAAGGGGTTAAGAAGCTGGTTTGAGCTCTGGCAGCTCCAGCCTGCTTCCTCCTGCACAGGCTGGAGAAAGAGATAAAAAAGACCAGGAAAGAGATCAGACCTTCAGCTCCGGAGAAAAGGGCTGACTGACGGCAGGGAGCCTCCCAGACAACCACTGCTTGAGCAGCTATTGGTAGGAGACATCAAGTGAGGTAGCAGTGTTATGCCATGCCTTGTCACTAGGGGGCACTAGCAATGAGTCTACTCCTTCCCAATGGCAAGACTCTAACTTTAAGAACATTAGGTTTGTGACTTGAATGGAACTGCTCATATGCTTAGTAAATGCGTGTTTAAGAAAGCTAATGAACAGGAAGGTGCTTAATACATAGTGGGGCTTACAGGAACAATAAGAATCATCATCATGTAGTTTTCATCTGAGATAAAAAACTTTTCATTCAAGTTAAAGTTATTCAGAACATAGCACCAGATCCTCTGCTGACAGGGGTGTAATTGAAATCAGTGAAACTGCATCAGTTTTGTAGCTGTGTCAGATCTGGCCGTTAGTAATTATTGCTAATATACACAAGTCCAACTTAATTTCATTGAACAGATTCAGAACATTGTGTGGGAGAGAATCATACAAAGATGCAAATTCTAGACATGTTATTTTGTAGTCTATCCCGAGTAGAACTGTTGAAAGTTTCCAGATGAAAATTCAGTTTGTCAGTATCGTAACATTTTGGGAATGTTGATTGCAATTCTGTTTTTAACTGGAAAGTGTTTCAATAAATTGTTTCAATGCTCTCGTTTCCTTTCAATAATGTTGAAGCAATTCATATCAGTAAGGTACACTAGTCTTTTCAACTAGTGTTTCATTTCATTTTGTTTAGACACATACTCAATATTAATTGAATGACAGTACATTGTATTATTTATGTTTCAATATGATCAGAAAAATTGCTTTGTTGCTTCTGAATCAACATTTTTCAGAATATTCATTCTATAGACATTTTCAAAGTTTCAAATTTTTGTTTTGATTTACAAAATATTTTTCAAACTACTGAAACTCCATTTTCTGACCAGCTTCAAGACAGAGTCAACCATTTTTTGTGTTGCACGGAGTATATATAATTTATGATTGTGAGGGTCACAAATAGGATATGAGAACTGCAATCACATTTAAGTATACTGGGGCAGATCCTCAGTTGATATCAGGCTCAATGGAGCTTGAAAATCTAGCTTTATTTATTTCTTTGGGAGAAAAACTGGGCTTGACTCTCTTCTGCCTTTCATCGTCTATCATTATTTACATCTGTGCCCAATGGTTGTAATGGATGAATGAGAAAAATGCTACCAAGCCTGAATGGTAGTATTTTGCATCCACTCTGCACAAGTGTGAAACTCCAGGTTAAAAACAGGGCACAATCAGGCTCATTTTTTAACCTGAAGCTTCAGACAAACATTTTACCATAATCCTAACAATAATTACTATATTTGGCTACGACTGGAACTAAGATGACTAGAAATCCAGTTCTGGACTGGAATTCCAAAATGAAGACGATGGAAGGGAGCTCCATTGTCAAATTATATCTGTGACTGATGGATGTACCCAACAATGATGCAGGAGACTCTGCTAACTTGGAGAGCATTGTATAAACTGTGGGATACTGACAGGCTGTCATACGCTTTTTCTATTTGCTTAACGTCTAAGAGAAGATGAGCCCAAACAAATAAGAACAGCCCATCTCAAAGATATTACTACAGTGGGTCTCTCTCTCTACTAACCACTTTGAAAGGGCATGTCTTCACTTAGAGTTCGGACTTCTGGTGCTGGATTTAACAAGTCTAGTAGTCTAACTACAGGGAGGGAGAGCTCAGTGGTTTAAGCATTGGTCGCCTGAATCCAGGGTTGTGAGCTCAATCCTTAAGGGGACCATTTAGGGATCTGAGGCAAATTTGATGGATGCTACTTGGTCCTGCTGTGAGGGCAGGGGGCTGGACTTGATGACCTCTCAAGGTTCCTTCCAGTTCTATGAGATAGGGATATCTCCATATATTTATTTCAATATAGACCCATAAATCGACTGCTGGGGGCAGCTCTGGCTGGTGCCTATACTCCTTGCAGTTGTGAGGAGAAAGAGAAGCTGATGGAAGCATTTGCTTCCATCAACCTCCCACTGTGGGGATGCTGCCAAGCTTGGTTTAAGGTAAGCTGACTTCAGATACATATTCTACATACCTGGAGTTGCATACTTTGAGCCAATCTTCCAGGTCTAGTGTAGACCTGGCCTAAATGTAAGCATTTAAGGGTATGTCTACACTACCACCCTAGTTCGAACTAGGGTGGTAGTGTAGACATACCATGATTTCTTTGTTTCTTTGAGAGTATTTTAGGGTATGTGGAAGGAAGTTTGTGCACACCCAGGCTATGTCTACACTGGCACGATCTTGCACCAGACGTATGAAAATGAGGCTAAGCGTGGAATATCGCTGACCCTCATTTGCATATCTAATGAGCTGCCATTTTTGCAGAAGAGGCTCTTGCACCAGAAGGAGCTGTCTACACTGCCCCTTCTTGCGCAAGAAAAACCATCTTGCGCAATGCCGTTATTCCTGAAAATAATCAGCATAGCGGCATTGCGCAAGAGGGCTTTTCTTGCACAAGAAGGGGCAGTGTAGACA